AAAAAAAAAAAAAAAGTCGTAAGAAGACTATGTACATGCTCGTAGAAAATAATTTTTTTTTGTAATTTTGGTATCATTCGCGTCGAGGACGAAAGATTAATTTCATTTAATATTTAAATGTTCGACAGTCCCGATATTTCGCTATTTCTCACTTGCGTAATTCATTTGCAATCTTTTTTCCAATCGGTTGACGTTAACAAATTTTATTTTTCAATATTGCACCCATGGAAGTAACATTTACTTAATGTTATCACCTCGTCACACCTTCTATCTAGATTCTACAATTTTTAATTAGAGGAAATTTCAAGAGTTAATATTTTTTTCAATTTATTATGCCTGCTTATAAGGTTATGAGTTAAAAGATCTTTACTTGGGATTACGGAAGATAAATAGAGGACGTAAACAATATTAAAAACACAGATTTTAAATTTTTAAATTCCATAATCTTGATTTTAAATTATTAAAATTCAACGTAATAGCGGAATTATATTTTATACATATATATATGTCTTTTTAACATTTCTTCCTGCAGCTCCAATATTGAAAAATAAAATTTGATGGTAGAAATTAATTTTTAACATTTCTTGCTAATAATGGTAGAAATTAATTTTTAACATTTCTTCCTGCAGCTCCAATGTTGGAAAATAAAATTTGATGGTAGATGATGATTGCAAGTGTAATAAAATATCGTGCAAGAAACAGACTTTTTTATAATTTTGCGAAATTTTCTAATGATTGCTTGGTCCTCGATGGATTGATAATCATTCTAGATGAAACCACCATTGGCTCTCCCGGAAGATACTCTCGACAAATTTCACCCTCGCTAGCTCTGCACACTAGTATAAATGATCATGAATACATTCATTCACACCTCGTGTACCTCATAGTCGATGCACTTGGCTCGCACCTCATATCCTGCAAGGACTGTGCTGCGTTATCCATGATATATGCATCGTGTCATAACATTATCGACCATCTTCTTTCATCTTTTTTATTTTCCTAAAATCTCGAGAGTGTTATATATATATATATATTTTCCCCCTGCCTTCTAAAATCGCGCGAAACTTTCGAGTAACGTCGGGAATCGTCGTCACAGTGGACTCAAGCAGTCATGCTTCGTCGCTTCGAAACGCATTCCCAAAGCCTGGTGAAAAAAAAAAAAAAAAAGAAAACGAGCGTGATCGAAGTGTCTGTGATCGTGAGAACGATCCGTAGGATCTGTCGGCGAGGAATCATCGATCGTCACTGATCATTCATTCATTTCATTCGTCTCCCTGTTTTTCTTTGCGCCTTTACGAATTCGGCACGGTGGAACGGGATAACTTTGAATTCGCTCGTTTCGAGAAGCGAAATGATCTCTTTTGTTTTTTTTTTTTTTTTTTTTTTTTAATTTTCTAACCTAATCGAATTTGGTTGAATCGTAACTGAGTTTAGGTTAAATTTTATACCACGGTTGATAGTATCTGTGTAAGATACAAAGTATTTTCAGAACTAGATCAATTGAATTTTGTACAATTAAATGTTGTTAATAGCCTCTATCACGTAAAATACAAATTTAGCACATAATATTCTTATATTTTACACCTTTGATTGTGTGTAAAATACAAGTACAGGTATCCTGAAATTGGATTAAACGTACTATATATTTGTATATATTTTAAAATCACTTGTACTTTGCAATTGATAGTAACATTTGATAATTCGTACTAAGATTTGCCCAAAATATTTTGAAATTAAATTACTCGTACTCAGTGTAAATAATCTCTAATTGGATAATAAACGAGAAAATATTGTAAAATTTAACCTAAACTCTTTAAATTAATATCAAGGACTAAATTTGCACAAAAATTTGGAGAGAATAGAATTTTCAAAAGATACATTTCAAAGATATTTCATAGTTTCCCTGCAATAATAATCACCGCCTCTCCAATTGCAGTTGGAAATTCTGATTCTAATCGACCGATCTTCCTCGCGAATTCGCCGGATATCGAAGCGCAACCGAAGGGAGGAACTCGAGTACCGTTTATAAAATAATCGCGTGATCGTGCCGAGCAGAACTGTTTAGGTCCACTGGCGAATAGTGCCCACGAATGATTATTGTGCGTTTAGTATTTGCTGACCACTTTGTAGCGCCTCAATTACTACTGTCGACGA